ACAGTGCACACAGCCCACACAGGGGAGCACCTAGAAGGCCCAGCTCAGGTGACTGGGGAGGCTGAGCCACTGGACCCTACAGGACACCTACTACACAAAGCCACTCTACAAATTCCAGGAGACATAGCAGCTCTACCTAATACATAGAAACAAACACCTGGAAGCAGCCAAAATGTGGAGGCAAAGAAACATGTCACAAAGGAAAGAACAGAAGAAATCTCTAGAAGAGGAACTAAATGAAATAGATCCAAGCAAGCTAACAGATACAGAGTTCAGAATTTTGTTTATAAGGATGTTTAAGCAGACTATTAGGGAAATAACTGAGAAAATCGATAACATAATAAAGTACCAATTTGAAATGAAGGCTACAGGAACTGAAATGAAGAATAATTTACAGGGAATCAACAGTAGAGTAGAGGACGCTGAGAATCAAATCAGCAATTTGGAACATGAGGAAACAAAAAACACCCAACCAGAAGAGCAAAAAGAAAAAAGAATCCAGAAATATGAAGATAGTATAAGGAGCCTCTGGGACAACTTCAAGAGGCCCAACATTCGTATTATTGGGGTGCCAGAAGGGGAAGAAAGAGACCAAGAAATTGAAAACCTATTTGAAAAAATAATGACAGAAAACTTCCCCTACCTGGGGAAAGAAATAGACTTACAAGTCCAGGAAGCACAGAGGGTCCCAAACAAGAGGAACCCAAAGAGGCCCACAGCAAGACACATCATAATTAAAATGCCAAAGGTTAAAGACAAAGAGAGAATCTTAAAAGCAGCAAGAGAAAAGCAGTTAATTACATACAAGGGAGCACCCAGATGACTGTCAGCTGATTTCTCAACAGAAACCTTGCAGGCCAGAAGGGAGTGGCAAGAAATATTCAAAGTTATGAAAAACATGGAACTACAACCAAGATTACTCTACCCAGCAAAGCTATCATTTAGAACTGAAGGTCAGATAAAGATCTTCTCAGACAAGGAAAAGCTAAAGGAGTTCCTCACCACTAAACCAGCACTACAGGAAAAGCTGAAGGGTCTTCTTTAAGAAGAAGCTAATGAACAAAAGAATCTGATGAACTAAATAGATCCAGAGACATTGACGCATGCAACAGACAATCATATTTCAGAGGAAAGAGGGAAGGGGGTGGAGGGTGGGAAGAGATTAACCAAAGAAGTTATATGCATATATGCATAACCCATGGACACAGTCAATAACGGGGTGAAGGCCTGGGAAGGGGGTGGGAGCGAAGTGGAGGGGATCAGTTGGGGGGAAAAATGGGATACCTGTAATATTCTCAACAATAAAGATAAATTTAAAAAAATAAATAAATTTTAAAAATAAGAGATCATCTGATGTCTGTATGTTTTTTAAAATATATCTTTATTGATTTCAGAGCAAGCACGGGAGAGGGAAAGAGAGAGAAACATCAGTGATGAGAGAGTCGTTGATTGGCTGCCTCCTGCACGCCCCCTGTGGTGATCAAGCCCATTACCTGGGCATGCGCCTTGACGGAGAATCTAATCACAATCTCTGGGATCATAGGTTGATGCTCAACTGCTGAGCCACGCTGGCCGGGCTGAGGTCTATATGTTTTAAAAAATTCAACACACTGACCACTGAGTTCAAGGAGCAGGCCCGTCCCAGGCCTCCTGAGTGACCAGGAGCTGCACTTCCAGTTTGCGATCCCTTCTTTTCCATGTGGTTGTACCAGACAAACACATTGCTTGGCTTTGCAGTTCTGAACATTATATGATTGGAATCACACTGTATTCTGCTGAGACTTGCTGTCTGGGTACCACCTGAGAATGTTTCCTGTCGATGAGTGTGCTTTATGCTATGCTATCCATCCTCCTGCCTCAAGGAAATTTTAGGGGGTTCTATTTTTTGCTGTGATGAACATGCTACTCCGATCGTGCCTGTGTGTTTTCCTTGGTGCACACACACACGAAGTTCTCTAGAACATACACACAAACACACAGCAGTGGAACTGCTGGGGCAAAGGTTATTCACACTCTCAGTCTCACCAGATAATGACGTTGTTTCCCACACTTGCTAAGTTGGCATTGTCAGACATTTCTTTGACAGGTTAACTATGGCATTGTGGCTTCCATTTCATGCCTGCCCATGCCTCTCCTCTGTTTGTCTGTGGGGCTGGAGTTCTTTATGTTTTCTGGAGTAACAGCCTGTGTTAGCTGTTGGTGTTGCTCCTGCTCCGTGGCTTGCCCTTCCACTGGGTGAAGGTTCTTTATTTTAATGTAGTCAAATGTATTACTTTTTCCCTCTGTGGTTACAGCTTTCTGTGTCTTGTTTAAAGAAATCCTTCTATGACCCAAAGTTTTGAATTACTGTCTAGAACGGGGAGGAGAGGGGAACGTCTGGCCCGAGGGCTGTATACAGCCCTTGAAATTATTTGGTCTGGCCCTGCCAAGGCAACTGCAGGCAGGACTGGAAATTCAATAAGTCTAGGAGCTTTTTTCATAGCTAATTTTTAAGTTGATAATTTTGTATGGCCTGTGAAAGATGTTATAAATATCCAAATGGCCCTTGGCAGAAAAATGGTTCCCCACCCATGGTCTAGAAGCTTAGTGTTGTCTTCCACGTTTAGGTCTGTACAGTACTGTCCCAGAGAAATATGTGAGCCAGACTGTGCTTACCTTCAGGTGGAGACTGCAGCCAAGAAATCAAGAGAAGGCTGGGACTTGGAAAGGCAGCAGTGGCAGATTAGGAAAGATCATTAAGAGAAAAGATGTATCATTAGAGACCAAGGCTAAGGTCAGCCACACCCTCGTGTTCCTAATTACTCTGTGTGAGTGTGAAAGTTGGACAGTGAAGGAGGCTGATAGGTGTTGAAAGAGCTCTCTGGATACCCTGGACTGCTGGAAAGACGAACAAGTGGATCTTGGTGCAAATTAAGCCTGAAACATTGCTGGAGGCAAAAATGACAAAACTGAAGCTGCCCTACTTTGAGCACGTCGTGAGAAGGCAGGGTTCCTTGGAAAAGGCAAAAATACTGGGAAAAACAGAAGGCAGCAGGGAAAGAGGGCCACCAAACATGAGATGCACTGATTCCACAGAAGCCTCCACTCGCATGAGTCTACAGGAGATGAGCAGGGCCGCTGAGGACAGGACACCGTGGATGTCACTCATTCATAGGGTCGGTCAGCAGGAGTTGGAGCCAACTCAACAGCACATCACACACACACACACACACACACACACACACACACACACACAATTTAAACTTTCCTACTGGCCATGTTTTTAAAAAGTAAAAAAACAAAAAACAGGTGGAATCAACTTTAATTATTTAACCCAATAGATACAAAATGTTCTTTCAACATATAACTAACATAAAAATTACTAGTGAGATATTTTACATTCTTTTTTTCATTGAAAGTCTTCAAAATCTGGTGTATATTTTATGCTTATAGCACACTTCAATTTGGGTGCTATTTTTTTAATGTTTTTATTGATTTTAGAGAGACAGGAAGAGAAAGGGAGAGAGAGGAACATCAATGATGAGAAACATCATCCATCTGCTGCCTCCTGCACGCCCCCTATTGGGGATCACCCACAACCCAGGCACGTGCCCTGACCAGGAATCGAACTGGCGACCCCTTGGTGCACAGGTCGAAACACAACCACTGAGCAACACTGGTCGGGCTTTGGGTGCTATTTTCATCATAAATACTTAAGCCCTGGCCGGTTTGGCTCAGTGGTTAGAGCGTCAACCCTCAGACTGAAGGGTCCCGAGTTTGATTCTGCCCAAGGGCATGTACCGCAGTTGCAGGCTCAATCCCCAGAGGCAACCAATCGATGTGTCTCTCCCCCTTCCACTCTCTCTGAAAAGCAATGGAAAAAATATCCTCGGGTGAGGATTAAAAAAAAAAAGAAGTACTTAATCACTATTAGGTTTCATAAAATTTCCAGTAGAAAGTGAGGCTCCCGCATGCAGGGCTCTAACACACTGCTTTCCTGCAGCTGCAGAGACCCGCTTGCTTGGGGAACTCGGGCTCGGGCCTGTGCTGCTGGCCTCTCCTGAGCATGCCTGGGCTGGGACGACGTCTGCCTGCGTCACTGCTGCTGTTCTCAGAGATAAGCACCTTCCGTACACTCGCTGAGTCAAATCAAAATCAACAGGATTCAGACTCTTCTTCTCTCCTTAGAGTTAGGTGACCGCACCGCTCTAAAGAGAATGCAGCTTTGGGGAAAGGGTGGTGTCTCCCGTTCTTCTCAGAGCTCGAGGGACAAAGGGATGACTTCTGGCCCCACTGCCCCTCTGCAGCGGTCAAATGAAAAACTGAGGACAGAGGCTCTCACCTGCTCTCATGCCAAACACACATTTGTGCCCGACCCGCTCTCCACTCAGCCCTGACTTCCCAGGGCTGCTCTTCAGTGATTCCAAAGGCAGCGAGTGGGGCTCGTTTGAGCTCCTGGGTCACATATAACTCTTTACCTTGGGTTACTTTCACCTTGATTGGGACCTTTCTATAGCCACATAAAGCCTCACCAGGACAAAGACAGAATGGGGCTGGGTCCTGCTCTGACTGGGAACCTGCATGCTGAATCGGAAGAGATGCCGCTTCCCAGCAGTCCCAGGTCTCTGTGGACCAGTCTCCTGCAGTGCCCACCCCAGCCTCCAGGCCCAAAGCCCCTCCTGTGCTCCTCTGCTCGCCTCCCTGTCCTCCAGCTCCCGAGCCTGGTCCATCCTGCAAGGCCCAGGGCGTTAGCCCCTTCCCGAAGCATCCAACAGTCTGCTCTCTGCCTCAGCTGCCTTGTTTCGCTGCCATGCCTGCCTTACCCTTGCAAAGTACATTTGTGGTGTGTCATAAACTTAAGGCAGAAATGTAAAAACGTTCACATCTCAAGGAACAAAATGTCTTCACAGAAGGCAGGAAAAAGACAGGGATGACAGAAGAGGTTCTCTAGGGGGTGACAGTGGCAGTGTTCCTACAGACAAGGCACCCTCTGAGCACAAAGTGATAATAAGTTACAACTGTTTAACTGTTGAACACATTTTATAAAAAGTAAAAGATCTATGATATTCGATCTGTTTTCCATCTAGCAGTCAGAGCTCATACACAACTGTTACCATGACCAAGAACAGTGCTAGGGCTTGCTGCCTGAAACAGTACAGGCCTTGGCTTGGAGGAGCTTTGTAAAACAACGTGGTCCAGCATTCTGCCCCTCCGCACCATGTCTCATGTCCCCGGGTTCTTCCAGCATGACGGGGACATGCAGCCCTAGTTAGCTGGCATAGCCAGCAGGAAGTCCCAGTGAGTGGTCCTGAGAGGCTGGGATAGTCCACCTGAGGACACAGATAGTCCACAGAGTGGAGCAGAACCACAGCCCCAGGCATCCTTCTCGGTGGTGGCAGTGGGCAGGGACCCCACCTTGGTGTTCAGTCAGGGCTCTCCAAGGGGAAGGGGAAGGGGAAGATGTGACCCTAGAAAAAGTACCTTCCCAGGAGGCTGGAAAAGGGCTGAGGGAGAGGACAGAACACGTTTTGTACAACTTGTTGGAGCATGAGCACCAAACAAATGCTGCCCAGGGCTACTACCAGCTGGCCTCATGCTGCTCCACTGATGGGCTCACCCAAGCAGACGGGCCTGGCGCAGTGTGCAGACGGTCCCGCTGGCCACTCTAGGAGCCCAGGGAAGGGCTAGCTCTCGGGTCCCCTGTTAACCTGAGCAGTGGGTCTCACGGAGCCTTTCTCAAAGGCAGTGTGGCAGAAGGCATGCCCTGGCTGACATACAGTTCAGTAACACATTATTAAATAAGCAAATGTAAAATGGATTAAAATTCTGAGACGGTTTACCACTTCCTGGCCCTGAGGAGTGAAAGGGGAGCCGGCCCTTCTGCTCTGGACAAGGCCGACCTTCTGGGCGAGGGATCCTAGCCCAGGGGCTCCCGCAGACCTTGGCGGGTGGTGGGAGGCGGCTTCATGTCACAGTAGCTGAGGCTGCCGCCATCCAGCACGTCTCCCTGAGAGAGGCTGTCGAGGCAGGGACCCTCAGAAGCCCTAGTGCTGGCCCACATGCCTGTCCTCTCCAGTGTGGCTTGCAGAAGTTCTCGGATCCTTCGGTTTTCCTTGGAGGTAGACTCCCAAACAACTTCCAGCTCGCCTTCCATTGCTCTAAAACAGTCAAAAAAAGGACAATTAAAAAATGCCTAAAGAGCTTTATGAATCCTAAAGTCATGAGCACTCAGCTGGAAGTGTGCTTTACAATGAGAACAGAGCCACTGGGGTCGGGTTCCGAGGCCAAGACTCTAGTGTTGTACGAAGCACCAAGGCCCGCTGGAGACACAGAAATACTAAGGCACAGGCTGAAGACAGCTTCTCACCTTTCCTCTCAACGCTGCCTTTTCCTTTATTCTGGCATCAAGCACACACCCTTTGTTTTTAGCACAATGGCCTGGCTGAGGACACAGAGGTGACACGGGCCATCTAGGCTGCTCCTCTGTCCCCCCTGCTTGTCCCCACTGTGACCTGCTCACCACTCGGACACCTTTCACAGGCACCCACCACTCAAGCCACTATGGGTCCAGACATAAAGAATTCGTAAGGGGGTAAGGGAGCAACCATAGGGGAGTGGGGCTCATAACTGGGGACACAGGGAAGACTGGCCTAGACCATGTGCCAGGAGAGTGAGTGCCCAGAGGGAAAGAGGCTTATGAGAAAAGGCAAGGGCAGTGAAGCAGATTTTCCTGAGCAAGGAACCAGGAAGTTAAATGAGGCAAAAGGTGGGTTGGTTATTGGAAGGTTCCTTTCCTTCAGGTGGTCCCTGCTTGGCTGATTTAAAACTATTTTCTGGGGAGCTGAAATTGTAAATTTAGTCTTGGTTGTGACATGGGGCTTGGTGTAAGCAACTCCTTTTTGGGCCTGTTGTCTTGATTTTAACAATTAGCAATCAAATAAATTGGCAAACTGTAGGTAAATCAAAATAAACAACTATATAAAAACTAGTAACATGAGCTGGCATGTAATGTACAGCATCGACTATAGTTAGCAATACTGCATTGTATACTAGAAAGTGGATAAGAGAGTAGGTCTTAAATGTTCTCATATACCAACAACCACATGGTACTTATGTGAGGTGAAGGGTGTGTTAACCTTGTTGTGGTAATCACTTTGCAATATATAGATGTAATAAGTCATCTCACTGTACACCTTAAACTTACACAATGTTGCATGTCAATTGCTGGAGAAAAAACACACAAAAAACAAATTAAGGAGCAAATAAAAATTAAGACCAACATTAAATTCAGATAAAACTAAAATAGAAAAACAAAAGTAAGCAATCAATTAAACAAAACAGATCAGAGGGTTTTATTGGAAAATTCTACCAACATTCAAAAAACACACACACGCTATGGGGTGGGGCAGCCCTACCTTTTCTGCTGCAGAGCCTCATCCAGGACATCCTGCTTGTCCTGCAGCATCCGATGGAGGTGCCGCATCTCCTGCTGGTACTGAGCTGTCTTGCTAGCAAAGTCCTCCTGCTGCTCTGTCAGACAGTGACTAATGTCATCCAGCTTCAGTGCGGCCAGCTTCTTGTAACCCTGGTGGAGGAGGAGGGACTGTGTGAGTGAGGGAAGCTGCTTGCTGCCAAGTAGATGGCCTCCTGGATGCATTCCCTACCCACCTCCTTGGGCAGTCAGAGACCAATGAGTTGAGTAAGCCCTGGATAGGTCTGATCTGGGAGGGCAAGTCTGGATCATAAAAGTCATGTAAAGTAATAAAAAATTTCAAGGATAATAAAACCAAATTTCTAATTTATATCATGCTATAAATTATTTTTATATGCTTTAAATAAAATTAAAACAGAAGGACCTGGCAAGATTTATCATACTCTATTGGTAAAGAGATGCCTGAGATAAAAGACTAACCCATTCATTTTCCTACTTTCATTTTTATTGCATAGTATTTCAGGTTATGAATTTCCCTCTGAGCATTTCTAAAACTGTTGTCACATAAATTTTGACTTATAGTTTACACAGGTTCCATTAACTAATGCAGCCAAAAGAATAAAATACTTAGGAATACATTTAACCAAGGAGGTGAAAGACCTGTACTCTGAAAACGATAAGGCGTTGAAGAAAGAAACTGAAGACACAAATAAATGGAAGGATATACCATGCTCACGGATGGGAAGGATTAATATCATTAAATGACCATACTACCCAAAGCAATCTACAGACTCAGTGCAATGCCTATCCAAATACCAAAGGCATTCTTCTCAGAACTAGAACAAATAAACCTAAAATTTATATGGAATCACAAAAGACCATGAATAGCCAAAGCTGGCTTGAGAAAGAAGAGCAAAGTTGGGAGTATCACACTCCCTGATTTCAGTCTATGTTCAGGAGAAATCGGTATGGCTGGTGAGGCTGGGGATGCATGCTGAACAAGGGCTGTCAGGATGCAGATGATGGGGGAGGTGTAGGACATGTCGGAGGTGGCCAGGGGAGGAGAGTTGGTACAAGGAGAATGGCTTTCCTGGGCAGAGACTGGAGGGCACAATCAGGATTAAGCAAGAGAGGAGCAGGTCAATGCTACTCTCCAACTGAACCAACAACTGAACTAGACTTGATCATAAAGCCTGGACATTAACTTAAGGATATAGCCTGGAGATTTTTCTGGGTCCTTTTTTTAAACATCTGCATTGTATGTTATTGTGCAGATGAGCTGCAGGTTTTTTTGTTTTTTTAAAACATATCTTTATTGATTTCAGAGAGAGGAAGGGAGAGGGAGAGAGACAGAAACATCAGTGATGACAGAATCATTGATCAGCTGCCTCCTGCATGCCCCCTGCTGGGGATCAAGCCCGAAACTGCAACTGGGGAATGTGCCCTGACCGGGAATTGAATCCTGATCTCCTGGATCCTAGGTCAATGCTCAACCACTGAGCCACGCCTGGCTGGGCTGAAGTTTATTTAATGAGTGGAGAGATGCTACCTCTGCAGAGGTGCCATTTCTGCCAGCAAAACCCTGTGCTGCTTTACTCTATGGGTGAGCAGGTTACACATATGCGGAATGTGTCACTTTTTATAACATGGAAATCCATACCCAGGAAGCCTCTGTTCCCATTTGAAAGAGGAATCTTTAAGGCTAAATGACCACTTACCTTGACTTTTTCCTCTAACTTTCCCATGCGAATATTGCCTTTAATAATTTTGTCGAGAACTCCATGTTTTTCACTTTCTAAGCATTTGGCCTAAGGAGAGAGGTGAAAAAAAACAATGGGCTTCCAGTTTTATAGAAAAATTAAAAGAATAAAAAGTTCTGCAAAAAATATTATTACTCACAAATGATCTCCATTCTGCCTCTTGACTTGGCCCAACCCCTGCTGCCCCCACCTGGACTGCCACTCCCTGTGTGAGGGCTGTGGGCAGAACTTGGGCCGACAGCTAAGGAGGGCGAGAGCTACAACAGCTGGGCATCCCTCTTGGGCGCAAACAGGAGATCTGTGTCCCCAGGACAAGGGGAATGGGAGAGGTTGTAAGGGTTTCTAACACATTTCTCTGTCCTTATGAAATATACCATTCCTTTGATCATATCCAAGGAGTAAGTGCGAAGATGCAAATAAATTTTAACTTGACTTCTTTGAATAATTAAAAAATTAAAGATAACTTAATATGAATACACAATGCCACTCTCCAAACAAATGTGATAGGCAGTATTTCCAAGATGGATGTCACCTGAAGCTGAATGATACAGATTAATATCTACATGGGACATGCACTACTATGCACTACAAATTAACTATTTCAAGTGGTAAAAAAGAATTGTAAAAGTGAGCATTCCTTCTAAAATAGGCTAGTAGTGGCAATTTGGTGGTTAGAAAGGAAAAATAAGACAAAGGCAGTTAAATAACTTGCCACAAATCACACAGAAAACCCATTCAAAAGGCAGGATTAGAAATTAAGATGCCAATATCAATACAAGGGGCTCTCACAAGGTCCAAGAGAGCAGAAAGGGGTAAGGTGGGAATGCATGGCTCACAGTCCCAGGACAGTGCAAAGGCAGCCAGTACTACCCCTGAACCCCCACTAGAAGGGCTGCCCTTGGGGCTCGCAAGGGGAAGGACCTTGTAGGGCCAAGGGGACAGCAGTGTCTGTATGTATAGAGATCCCTCATGGTGGGTGGGCCAGGGTGGGATAAGAGCAGCTTTCCCCACATCTGAGAGGTCTGAAGACTCTAAACTCAGGCCTAGCTTTCAGACCATAATAACAAAGGTCAGGGCAGGAGGAGAAAGCACATTTCATTAACAGTCATAATTTGTAACTTTTAAGTATTTGAACACATGGTATGTGGCTTCCATTTATATTTCTATCCTGGGCTCATAAATATGAGGGGTGGACCTAAGGAGGACCACTTGTGGGTCAGGGAAGATCTTGATTTCATCGGGGAAGCCTGGGATGTTCTCTAGCCCACGTGGGACTGTATCTTGGAGAAACCTGTGTGTCCTGCCCTGCAAACAAGATGACTTTGCCTTTACAGTGGCAATGACACATGGCAGCTGGGTCCCCATGAATGTTTGCTAGATGAATGGGTTTGTTTGGCAGGTTATGTTTTTCAACAAGCCCTCTGTTTGCTTCTTCATCTATCAGAGTGTAAGCCCGGAAGCAGAGCAGAAGGGGGAACAGGCACTGAGCGCTGCTTCAGGGAATGCCAGAGTTCAGTACCTGCGATGGGACAGTAACTCCTAGGAGAGGGACTACTGGACCAGGAGGTCTGCATGCTTTTAAGGCTGCTACCATGCTGTCAAATGGCTTCTAAAAGACTCGGGAAGTACCTAGAAATCACCAGTAATATATGACTAACATTAAAAAAAGTACAGAATGGTATCTCGAGACTGGCTAAATTAGCATTTCTTTTATCACAAGTAAAAATCAGCATTTTGCCCTGGCCACTGTGGCTCAGTTGGTTGGAGCATCATCTTGTGCGCCGAAAGGTTGCTGGTTTAATTCCTGTGGTCAGGGCACATACCGAGGTTGCAGGTTTGATCCCAGCAGGGGTGTACGTGGGAAGCAACTGATCGATGTTTCTCTCTCCCTCTCCCTTCCTCTCTCTGTAAAATCAATTATTAAAAAAAAAAAGCAACATTTCCCCCCAAGAGTTGAATACTATTTGTATTTCTTCTTATATAAACAATGGCTAAAACCTATGTGCATTTTCCTGTGGAGGAACTTAGTATGTTTCTAGCAAATGGGAATAAGCCTGTGACATATCCTGACACTCTCCACACCTCATTCACCTGGAGAAGGGCCAAGTTACTTCCAAGTTTGCCAATTTCTGACTCTCAGAAAGTCCTCAGGTCTCTTTGTAATGACATCCATTAAACTGTTACTTCTGACCCTACACTACCAACACTGCTTACATAAACATGTTTAAATGCACATAAGCAATGTTGTTCAATGTAGAAAAATCATAAAATGCAGATAAGTAAAACAATTTTTAAAAATCTCTTGTAATTCCACTTGAATAGCTAACTCACTGTACCCTTCTGTAGTAAGTCCTATCAGACTTTTCCCAATGCATACAGCTTGGCATAGCATCTATCTTCTTTCACTGTACAATCTGTTGTAGACATCTTTTAAAATCGATGTGGAGATGCCCAGGATCATGTCCATGCCATCACTCTTGCATGTCCATTGGTGGTCCTAGAGCTCCATCATCTAGGTCCACCAATAATTTACTCACTTCCCTTCCTTGGACTGGTGCTGTTAGAAACAATGTGGGATGAATATCATTGCCCTTTAAACTATGTCCTTAGGATGAACTCTATTTAACCTATGATTCTTATGTTTCATCTTCAAATGGGGACTATATTAAGTCAGCTTTACAGGGAGAATATAAGGTTCATCTGTGTGTAACACAGCTGATAACTACTGTTCCTATTTAGTTAAATGGACTAATTCCATTAGTTTACCCTCTAAAATATCATTTGCCATTATTTAAAAGTTTGGGTTATCTGCCTTTTAAAAGCGTTTTTTTCCCCATGGTTGAAATATAAAATTTTGGAGAATTTGAAAATTTGCTATTGAAATTTGTTTGTTGTTGTTAATTCTCACCCAACGATATTTTTTCCATTGATTTTTTTAGAGAGAGTGGAAGGGAGGGGGAGAGAGAGAGAAACATTGATGCGAGAGAGACACATCGACTGGTCTGCTTCCTGCAAGTGCCCTGACCGACGGGCTGGGTGGTGATCGAGCCCAAAACCGAGGTCCGTGCCCTTGACTGGAATTGAACCCTTGACCCTTCAGTCTGAGAGCCGATGCTCTAACCACTGAACCAAACCAGTCAGGGCTGCTGTTGAAATTGAAAAAGATGAAGCTGTTTATGGATAATTTTGTAAAAAAAATACTTCTGAAATTACGTTTGCACACTAACTTGCAGTGTACTTGAAGTAACTGAGGAAACTTACCAAATACATAAGATTGTCACGTTCCTGGGTTATAGTCTCCGCCAGGCCAACGAGATTTGCCAGGTATTGATGAGCAGACATTTCACTCTCCATGGCTTTTTCCACCTGCTTTTTGAGGACGTCAATTTTTTTTTGAGATCTCCTAAAGGGTTCCCACAAATGGTGAAATAAAAACCTCATTAACCTGAATGGCTAGGGCATAGTGAATATCTGTATCATAAAAACAGCAAGTATGTTAGCATCTAAATGTTAGTCTTCAGCAATCTAAATCTGTAAGTTTCAAGGCGAGAAATAGTAATTGAATTTAATTTTAAGCCAAGCAGAATTACTGACTCGAAGTCAAGCCAATAGAAATCACAAAATGCTTTCACACAATTAATAGGCTAACTATATATTATTCTATTAACTTTTAGGCTCATGTTCTAAAAGATACTTTGGGATTTTCAGTAATCCCAAAGTTGACTTCTAGGAAATGGTTAGGAAAGAAGTTCTAAAAGTTTCAGAGTTGTAGGGTCATCATTATAACTATCAACAATATGTGAACTATAGACTAGAAAAATGTTGGTTAATGTTGGTCAACAGAAAAGCTTTTACTATACTTAATATTCTTTTCTATTTTATAACCAATATTAGAAAAAGAAAAGATAAAGAATATTTTTCAACTGTCTTTTTTTAACTACCAAAAAAAGCTTAGGAAACACTATATGAAAACCTATTTATTTTCTGTGCTCGTCCGAGTTCAGCTTCCAGCGCTTTGTTTTTAGCTGTGAGATTGTTCTTTTCCAACAGCAGGCTCTTTTTCTGCACTTGCAGGACTGTCAACTTTTCCATCAGCTCTTCCATGTCAGCACTTTCCTTCTCATCTTCCTTCTGCAGGCGGCTGATGGACAAAAACATCGGCTTGTATCAGGCTTGTATCGGGTACACAGAGGCTACAATGAGGCAGCTCTTGCCAGGCACACTGGCAACCAGCCTAGGCCTCCAGCCCTGAGGGGCATGTGGAAGCCTCTGCACAAGGTCTCCCCATCCCAGCCCTTGGAGGACCTGGGATGGAGTTCCTAGAGGACGGGGGAGAGAGCACAGCTGGGCACACACTTCTTTTTCTTTTATTTTCACTGATCTTAGAGAGAGGAAGGGAGGGAGGAAGGGAGGGACCTGTAGGATATTGGTTTTATATTGAGATATACGTAACTGGTTATTTTAATATGTTTAAATACTGAGGAGATCCCTTCACTGTCTCTTAGACCAGCAGGACTCAGGTTGCGTTTACTAGCCTGTTGAAGGTGAGGGCTGAAGATAAGCTGGCAATGTCCACTCATCTTTTTGGTCTTAACTACGCCAATTTAATTAAAATGCCTTATATCTAAAATGTGCCTTTTACTTAATGAAAGGCATTTTTGTGTAGTTTATGTATAATATCAAATAAAGAATATTTAGCACTCTAGGCCATATTCCCATGTGAAAATTAATCTTTTGTGACATTACTTTTAATGGCTGTGCTGCATTCCATTTTATGGTTGTATCCTTTCATTTAACCAGCTCCTTATTACTGGATATCTAGGCTTCTGGTTCTACTCCTTTAAATTATCTTTGGTTCTAAAATCAATAAAGACTGGAACAGTAGAGAAAAAAAATCACACACATCTACATGCAAAATGCAGACTATAGCCCTCAGGGACAGTCAGATTCTACTTTAATAAAGCATTTACCGTTCTCAGACTCAGACACCTGTGCTCATGCAGCTAAAATGACTCAGAAAGAGACTCAGAAAAAGATGGAACAAAAAATTTTTTTAAAAAAGGAGCCACCTCTCTCCACTCTGCCTACAACAACATGCACTGTGATGCGTTAACCCTTGAAAAGACATTAATTCCTTACCTTTGCAATTCATTGACAATTGAAGCATGAACTTTCATTGCTATTTTGCCCTCCAACTGTGTTTTCAGCTCTTGGCATTCAGCACATACAGTTTCCAGTTGCTCCTTGCTTTTAGTTAGCTCCTTTTCTTGGCTCTGTGTTTTAGTCTCCAGAAGCATTAGTTGTTTAGTCAGCTTAGAAACTGAAAAACAAAAGAGATGGATCAAGATGTGGTATGGGAGACTTAACACATGATTACTGGTTACTAATGAGAGCCAGCTTATAAAAAATAATCTCTTAAAAATCTTTTGGAGATTTATAAATTAATACCAAAGACCCTGTACTTAGAAATTACTGTCCCTATATTGAGCATTCACTAAATATAAACTCTCATATTGAGAGTTTGATATAATTATTAAATATACAATATTTAACAAGACATGACTCCAGTCTTCAAGGAACTTTCTAAAGGGCAGCCTTGAGTCACATGCTGGTGTGCAAGCATACATTGTGATGCTGTCCCTAAAACTGCAAGATTCTCAAGGACATCCAAGATGGCCAAATGAAACCAAGGGTCCTGATTTAATGTATGGTTTTGATTTAATATGGAACCCGGCACTCTATGCAGTTTCTTCACCGAGTGCCCACTTAAGCCTTAGCCCTTCCCCTTACTAGTCATTAATCCCCTGAGGCAGCCAGAAACAATGGCCTTGCCTTGACTAAGGGTCACAAGGTATGGGTTTCCATCAAGCTAAAGAGAACACCATGGCCTACGTTGTGTTTCAGCTCAAGAGATCTAAAGCAGAATGACCTCCGGCCATGCCCCCATGAAGCCAGACTGAGGGACCCCAAAGCTGACCTCAAGACTTGAAATTATGATTTTCTGACCTTACCTCTCTCTTTTTAAAAATGTATTTATTGATTTGAGAGAGAGAGAGAGAGAGAGACATTGATTTGTTGTTGCTCTTATTTATACATTCAATGGTTGCTATTCTTAAATGTGTGCTGACAGGAGATTGAACCTGCAACTTTGGTGTATCTGGATGAAGCCTTAATCAACTGAGCTACCGGACCAGGGCCCCTTACCTCACTCTTGACCAATGAACAAGACCCATGAACCTAAATCCCTTACTCACGATGGCGGCTTGTGATTTTACTCTATAACACCCCTGGCCCGTAAACCAGCAAGTTTGGGATTTTGAGCATTAGCTTCCTGTTCTCCTGGATGGCGCCACTGCAGTTCTCAGTGTTTAGTGTTTGGCTCTGCTAGCGCGGGTTGGACGAACTCTTTCTATTCAGTAACACAAACTAAGACCCAAATTTAGTATTTTTCTTCCCTTTTCTCATTAAGTTTTTACATTTTATGTCCTGTATTGAAAGTAAATCATAAATACTTCATCTTATTTGACATAGTAGTATGTAATAATAAGATACTTCCTGGGCATCTGTTGAAACTAATACACAGAAGTATGACAGCATAAAACTTTTACCCCTTCCACTCCATAAAAACATTTAGTTGATCAAAATGAATAACTATTTCTGGGAAATGGAAAAGTAACACAGACAGCTGACTGAATCATATAGGCCAGGCCAAAGGTTGGCCCGCCCCACATGACCAGAAGAATCATACCTGTTCAGATCTGCTATGTTTGAGAAAATTAAGCTTAGTCATTATGAAATTAATTTTCCCCATCATCTCTAATCTGGAAAGCAAAGACAGGAGGCTCAATAAACACTCACTCTGTCCCCTCCCTGACAAATGACGCCAGAGTAGGCGCACACACTTCTGTGCTGTGCAAAGACTAGGGCGTGGGGAAGTCCTGTGCAGGAAACTCCTGTCAGACTCTGAGAGATGCTCTCACTTTTAAACATGACCTGGCTGCCAGAAACAAGGGGGTGCTAGCCAGCTAGCTTCAGCAACGGCAGAGGTTCCAGCTAACTTCCAGGTTAGCTCTTCCAGTGCGGAAAGAGGAGGGGCTCAATAATGGGGCGCAGAAAGGAAAACAAAGGAGTTACATTGGCTCACGCAGACAGCTTGTATTTAGGCCTCCTGTCCTGTATTATTTTTCTGGGAAAAGAAAAATCAGTAAAACAAAAGGAAACAATGCCACTATCTTTGTTTGTAAATTTTGGTTTTAATGAAAGTGGAAGAAATGACTCAATCTGGCCACGCCCAAGTCTACTGTTCTATACTGTGAGGCTCCTAGGGACAGGGAGGGACATTCATGAAAGTGTCTGACAGAGGCTTAACATCTGCCAGCACCCACAGCTCTGAAGGAAGGGCAAGAGCACCAAGAGCACAGAGAAACTGTTTAGAGACCAAATATTTCCACTTATTCATTCAACAAAAATATTCCTGTATAGATCCTCATGTTGTCACCTACAACTGATTTATAAAATACATAGAATAATTAAAGCAACACTGGAGTCCGAGAGAGAGCAAGCAATGCATTATGGGTAACGGCTGGATATGTTGTAACATAAACAGATGCATCTCAGTAAAGAAAACTATATTCTAAAAAAACATGATTTAAAAAATTTTTCATTTGAAAGGGGCCCCCCAGAAGGGGGTACAGTGTAAAATGACAGAACAACGACATGACAGCATTGCCATCACTCAGGGAAAGGCAGCTCACCTTCCTGGAGACGCTCCTGGTGGGTGTCCTTGGCTTTTCTTTGCTGAATCTCCAGCTGCTCTATCAACAACCTGTTTTCCTCTAAAACCAGTTCTGCCTGAGTCTGAAGCTGATGCCTACAAGTGATTCACAAAATTAAATACTGCCACCCAGGTGCTGAATGGTTACAGAGACAGTCCGAGTCCAAAAGAAAGTAAGTGATGTTGTAGGGAATGAATATCTGGACATGTTTTTTGTTTTGGGTTTTTTTGTTTTTCTTTTGTTAATCCTCACACGAGGATATTTTTCCATTGATTTTTAGAGAGTGGAAGGGAGGGAGGGGTCAGAGGGAGAGAGACAGAGAGAGAGAGAGAGAGAAGTGACAGAGACAGATCGATCGGTTGTTTCCCACACGTGCCCTGACCTGGGCTGGGGATCGAACCTGCAACCCAGGTACATGCCCTTGACCTGGAATCAAACCCAGGACCCTCCGGTGCTCAAGCTGACACTCTAACTATTGAGCCACACTGGTCAGGGCTATTTGATGATTTAATAAAGTTTATTCCTATTATCTTGTAATTAATAAAATACCATAAACACAACACCACTTGCCATTCCTCACTGGTAACAGGACTACTCTTATTTAACTGTTGGTGCAATTCTTTATTTTCCTTCACCACTTCTTGGACGCGCATCCTGAACATTCTCATTTCCTCCTGAAATAAAATTTATGTAAATTGTAATACACACACACACACACACCTCTATATTTCTTAGTTCTGGTGCTGTTGCTGTGGCTAAAATCAAACGCTAATAGCTTTTTAGCAAAGTCTCACAGTAACAGCAGCCGGACACTTAGTACCAGCACCAAGTGCCTGCCCTCGAGGAGCTCACAGTCTAGTGAGAAAACATGAGACAACTCCAGTGCTGAGCACAAGGGACACCGAACCTCAGGGTTTAAACATTCAATTCCTAATTTCATAACATTTTTCTGTAACTGCCAAACACTTGAAAAAATAAAAGGTATAAGAAAAGCAGAGATGCTGGTAAACAGTGTAATTTTCCCTTTGTTTAAAGATTTTGGAGCATAAAATGGAACTTTGTACATAAAAATAAGAACTTTCTAAGAGATTAGTAAGTGATGAACCAAGAGGTCACTGGTTCGATTCCTGGTCAGGGCACACGCCGGGAGTGCATGTACAGTAGGTGATGTACAGGAGGCAGCCGATCAATGTTTCTCTCTCTCTATCCCTCTCCCTTCCCACTCTCTAAAAAATCAATTAAAAAAAAAAAGCGGAACAAAAATCGATGTTTGTCTCTCTCTCTCTCCCTCTTCCTCTCTCTAAAATCAATAAATAAATGGGGGGAAAAATTTAACTGCATTACATGGTCCATGTACATGGAACAGTGTAATAAGAACAGACTGGGTGAGTCTTAAGCAACCCTTCCAGCTGGGGATCCCAGAAAAACCAACACTTCTCTTTCTGGATCCTTCCAATTCCAGAGATGTCTCTGGCCACTTAAATGAGGTACACAGAAGTATGCAGCATGGAAAGGCATGGATGCATCTACAACACTCACAGCGCCTTGGTCTCCTGTGTAACTCAAATGAGCTCCACTGCCAGAAGCCATTCCCATAAAACAGAGGTGAGCAAGGCAGCAATGAATAAAATCCTCCCTTCCCCACTGCTTCCAACAGCTCAATGCTGGACTTCCCTGGGGTTGGCTCTTCACGGAATTAAGAAGTCTGTGTAAAACACCCCTGGCCTACCACCTTCCCTGGTCTGCCCAAATACCCCTTCTGACAGTGGTGTTTGCAGCTGCAGAGTCCCAGGAAAGAAATGCCTCCCTTGTTATTTTTTACCCCATTATCTTCAGGTGGATATAGAAAAGCCTTCTCTGGTAGCAATGCCTTCCTCCCAGGTAGAAATGCCTTCTCTGCACCCCGAGACCCCAGCCCATGTGGGGCTGCCCGTCTGGGAAACTTCCAGTGCACCACCCTGTCCCTCCAAACCTCCCCCATCTAACCCTGCCCACCCTCCTGCTCCACCGATCACTCCCAACCTCCCTCCCCTCTTCCTCTTTCCCTCCCCCCTACTCTGCTACACTCTCTCCTTCCTTTCTCCTTCCCTTTAACAAACATTTGAGTACCTATCAGATGTTTGAACAGGGACTCAAAGTTTGAAATGGTCTTATCTTTTTATAAACCTTGTCTCTTCTCACATCTGCCAACCTACCTGAAGGGTGGCAACGAGCTCATCTTTTTCTTTCATTCTGTCTTCATAGGCCAGCAACAAGGGTGACAGATACTTTATATCCAGCTGAAGATAATGGGGTAAAGAAGGTTAATATATTTCTTACATCTAAACACAATCAGCAAATTTTTTAAAAGGTGAGAAGATACACTTAATTTAGAATGGATCTGAATAGCTATTCAAACATAGCCCAGAAAATGTGGGCCTGAAATGAAATAACTTTTACTTACCAGCCAGGGTGGTATAGGGCCCTTTGACGGTAGGCCTTCAACATTTATACTCTAAGAACAAAACACATTTTGAAGACAAATTAAGCTACACACTGCAATTTCAAGACTTAAGATGTTCTTAGTCTACTGTGCACCAGCAATCTATGCACCTTTATAGATTGTGTAGGCACATATATACATATATATGAAAAATTTCTTTTGAAATGTTTGAGAATAATTTGCAGATATAATGCCTCCTTTCCTTTAATACTTCAGTGTATATTTCCTAAAAAGAAAAACCTTCACTTACTCCACACTACCATCATAAAAACCAAGAACTCAACAGTGATATACTATATTCTAATCTACGGAATATATTCAACTTCTACCTATTTTCTATGAGTTCAATTTTTTTTTAAGTCCATATATAAGTGATACCATGCAGTATTCTGTGGGCGTGGTATAACTGTTTACAGGAGTTTCTTATGATCCTTAGTATTTTTGTGCTATCAGTTGTAATGCCTCCTCTTTCATTTCTAATTTTGAATCTTTTTTTCCCTTAGTCTAGCTAAAGCTTGGTCAAATTTATGTCTTCAAAAAACCAGCTCTTAGTTTCATTGATGTGTTCTGTTGTCTTTTTAGTCTCTACATTTATTTCTGCTGATTTTCATTTTCTTCCTTCCGTTAATTTTGGACTTAGATTTAAAGGTCTTCTTTTTCTAGCTCCTTGAGGTGTAAACTTAGGTTATTTACTTATTTATTCTTAACATTTGTATTTATTGCTATAAATTTCCCTTTAGAACTGCTTTTGCTGCAGCCCATAGATTTTGGTATGCTGTGCTTCCATCTTCACTTGTCTCAAGGTATTTTTTAATTTCTCTTTTGACCCACTGGTTGTTCAGTTGCATTTCTTCAATGTCCACATATTTGTAAACTTTGCAGTTTTCTTCTTGTAATTGATTTCTAATTTCATACATTGTAGTCAGAAAAGATGCTTGATATGTCAATCTTCTTAAATTTATAGACTTGTTTTGTGACCTAACGTATGGTCTACCCTCAAGAATGTTCCACGTGCACTTGAGACGAATGTGTATTCTGCTGCTGTTGGATGAAAAGTTCTGTATTAGGCCTGTCTGGTCTAACATGTAGTTTAAGTCCAATGTGTCCTTAGTGGTTTCTGTCTTGATGATCTATCTAGTGCTGGGGTATTGATGTCCCCTACTATTACTGCTATTTCTCCCTTCATTTGTCAATATTTGCTTTATATATTTAGGTGCTCCGATACTGGGTCCATATTTACAACTGTCATATTCTCTTGATGAATTGACTCCTTTATCATTATATAATAACCTTCTTTGTCTTTTACAGTTCTGACTTAAAGTCTACTTTGTCTGATATAAGCTTTCTTTTGGCTTCCATTTGCATTAATATACTTTTCCATCCCTTCACTTTCAGTCTAAGTCCTTACAGCTGAAGTGAGTCTTTTGTAGGCAGCATGCAGTTGGGTCTTTTTTTCTTTTATCCATTCTGCCACTCTATGTCTTTTGATTGTAGAATTTCATCCTTTCATTTAAAGTAATTATTAAGTATGGACTTTTTAATTGGCATTTGTTGTTTTCTGGCTGTTCGTAGTTCCTTTCTGCCTTTCTGGCTCTCTTCCTTTGTGATTTGATGATTTTCTGTAGTGCTATGCATTGATCCTTGATTCCTTTCTTTTTCTCTTTTGTGTACATCTACTATAGGTGTTTGCTTTGTGATGATCATGAACTTGTATAAAACATCTTGTAACAGTTATTTTAAGCTAATTACAAGTTCACTTTAAGCTTCCAATCAGCTTGCACCTACATGCTCACTACAATTCCCCTTGTTGGATCACTGGTAGGTCTTGGTACACACTAAACATACAAAGCTCTATATTTTTATCACCACCCGACATTTAAAAAAATGTTTTTATTGATTTCAGGGGGAAGGGAGAGGGAAAGAGAGAAACATCAATGATGAGAGAGAATCATTGACTGGCTCCCTCCTGTATGCCCCCTACCAGAGATCAAGCCCACAACCCAACCTGGGCATGTGCCCCAATTAGGAATCGAACTGTGACCTCCTGGTTCATGGGTTGATACTCAACCACTGAGCCACACCAGCCAGGCCTATATTTTGTTTTTGATATAATAATTTATATCTTTTTATGTTGCATATCCATTAACAAATGATTATATAGTTATTTCTAATACTTTTGTCTTTATACTAGAGGTATAAGTGATTTACTCACCATCATTACAATATTAGAGTATTCTGAATTTAGCTATATATTTACCTTTACCAGTGAGTTTTAAACTTTCATATGATTTTGCTACTAATTAGCACCTATTCTTTTCAGCTTGAAGAACTTCTTTTAACATTTCTTGTAAGACTGTTCTGCCGGTGATGAACTCCTTTGGTTTTTGTTTGTCTGGAAAACACTTTGTCTCCTTTGGTTCTAAAGGACAACTTACTTGGTAGAGTACTCTTAGTTGGCAGAATTTTCTCTTTCAGCACTTTGAATATATCATCCTACTCTCTTGTGGCCTGCAGTTTCTGCTGAAAAATCCTCCTATAGTCTTATGGAGGTTCCCTTGTATGAAAATAACTTCTTCTCTTGCTATTTTTAAGACTCTTTCTTGTTTTACCTTTTGCTGATTTAATGAAAATGTGCTTTGGTGTGGGTCTCTTTAGGTTAAGCTCATTTGGTGCTCTGGACTTCCTGAATCTGGATGTCTGTTTCTCTCCCCAGGTTAGGGAAGTTTTCAGCCATTATTTCTTTGATAAGCTTTCTGTCTCTTCTTCTCTTCTCCTTCTGAGACCTGCATAATGTGTCTATTCCTCTGCTTGATGCTATGCTGTAGTACCTTAACCTGTCTTCATGCTTTTTTCTTCTTTCTTTTCTGACCAGATTGGATGACCACCACTGCCCGTATTCAAGTTTGCTGATCCTTTTCCCACTTGCTCTAGTCTGTTATAAACCTCTCTACTGAATTTTTCAGTTTATTGCTTTTCAGTCTATTCTTCAGCTTTATGACTTGTTTGGTACCTTTTTATATTTCCTACCTCTCTTGAAATTCTCACTTGTTCATGTACTGCTTTCCTGATCTTGGCATCTTCTTTCAAATTTTTTTATTTTGAGAGTATGTTGGTTAAAGCTAGGGACAGTGAAATAAGGAAGGGCTGACAATAGAAGCAACAGAAGAGAGCATAGCCAGGGCTTCTTTGGCTCATTGGAAAGTCAGAGAAATGGGGGCCTTGGAGACAGGCTCAGGGGGTTAGCCCAGGACAAGCTGTCACTGCCCATTGCTCCCCTGATAGCAAGTCTCATGGAGACCCTTAGAATTTAGGAGATGCACACCTGAGAGGGAAGAAAGATGTGGGCGTGCTCCCAAGAGGGAGCGCTCCCTTGATGGGCATTTTTATGACTGTTATTTTTTAACTCTCTATTGAGTAAATCACTTATTTCCACTTCATTTAGGCTGGTTTCTGAACATTAATTTTGGTTTTTTGTTTGAAACACATTCCTTTCTTTCTTCATTTTCCTTGACCCTCTGAGTTGGTTTTGCTAATTAGATAAAGCAGCCTCCTCTCCCAGTCTTGACAGAATGGTCTCTTATAGGAGATGAACCTCATCAATCAGCCCAGTTGGAGTTCCTGGTTGCCTTTCAAACCTTTGTGATTGTTCACTGTCTCTGTTCTTAGTGGCTCCCAGTAGGTGAGGATGTACCAAGACCCACTGTGTCCCAACGAGGGGGACTGCAGTAAGCACCTAGACACAGGATGATGAGAAGCCGGACTCTCAGGCAGCAGCTGGGAAAGTATTCAGTCATACCCCTTTCAGAGAAAAAGTGGGAGATGGACATTTCTGCCTGCTTCCTTTGTGCTGAGCCTGGGTATACAGCTGCAGGGACTGGGGGGGGGTGCTCCTGAGCCCATTTAAAAACTGTTTCTTTGTTTGCTATAAACCTGTGTGGGACTCATGAAGGCAAGCCCCATTGACTAGAGTTAGGTGATTTGGAGTCTGTATAAACTAGTCTGCCTTCTTTTTTTTTTTTTAAATCCTCACTTGAGGATTTTTTCCCCCCATTGCTTTTCAGAGAGAGTGGAAGGGAGAGAGAAAGAGAGACAGAGAGAAATATTGATGTGAACTGGTTGCCTCCCGCATGCACCCTGACCAGGGCTGGGGACCGAGCCTACAACCGAGTACATGCCCTTGGCTGGAATCAAACCCAGGACCCTTCAGTCCGCAGGCCAATGCTCTAACCACTGAGGCAAACCAGCTAGGGCTAGTCTGCCTTCTTTTGAGACAAATAATAGTTGTAAACTTGAGGAACAAGACTGAGAATGGAGCAGCTGACATGGACTTTCACTCTTTTACATTATATATACTTCTGTATTGTCCCAATTTTTACAAAGAGTCTTCACTGCCTTTGTTATGAAAAAGGAGGGAAGGAAGAAAGGAAGGGAGAGAGGAAGGGAGAAAAGGAGGGGAGGCAGTGGAGGGAAAAGAAGGAAATAGAAAAGTCCCTAGAAATACTGTGCTTCATGTATATCTTTTTATTCCAAATTGTAATTAATATGGACCCCTCATGTTGGAAATCAACTCAACAGGAAAGGCTAACAAAAAATCTGAAAAACTGATTTTTCTTAATTGGAAACATTACCTCTTCCTTGGATAAATGCCTGAACTTTGTTTGATATCTGCTCAGTTCTACATTCAAACGATGGACAGTCATTTTCAACCCATCATTTTCATCCACCAGTTCTTGAGCTTGTTTTCTTAGATAAAGTAATTCAGGTGCAGCAACTTCTGAAAAAATTAATATTATTCTATAAGAACTTGTATCAAATTGATTAGGATTTTATATAAGTTGCTAACCATCTGCCCTTTTTTCCCTTTTAGGCTCACAGAGCCAGTGAGTGACAAATACATAGATATAAATGAATAAAAGTTTTTAAGTTTTTTAACACTAAATAGTTAACACTTTGGAAGTTTATGGAAATTTTTACATGTATAATTAATTAAGGTAAAATAAAAACTTTAGATTGAAAAGGAAAAGTCGCCGTTTCAAATGACATATAAATATTTGCCTTGCAAATCATACAGAATAGAAAATTTATTAAAATAACCTTGCCAAATATTAGAAAACATAATAGAAAATAGATCCCACAAAGTAATAACACAAATAATGTAAAGTATCTAGAAATAAGTGTGCTTAAGACAAGAAATATGCAGGGTCTATATGAAGAAAATGATCATCTTTCTTCAGGCAATAATATTGGCCTTATATAAATAGATAAATGTAGAGACAAAATCAGTGAATATTTATATAACCTTAGAGGTTAAAAAGGACATGACACCCAGGGCATGAGCCATAAAAGAAAAATATCCTTTAGATTTAGTTAAATTATCAACAAATTGAGAAAATATTACATATATGACAAAGGCTAACATCCTTAATACATAAAGAGTTCCTACAAACCAATGAGAAAAGCCAAATATCTCAATTTAAACTGGGAAAATTTAGCCCTGGCCGGTGTGGCTCAGTTGGTTGGAGTGTCATCCCATGCACCAAAAGGTTGCAGGTTCAATTCCCAGTCAGGGCACATACCTAGGTTTTGGGTTCAGTCCCCAGTCAGAGTGTTTATGCGAGGCAACAGATCAATGTTTCTCCCTCCCTCCCTCTCTCTCTCTCTCAACAATAAAAACACACCCTTGGGTGAGGATTAAAAAAAAAGTAACACACCAATATTAATTTCTTAGCAGGACAACCTTACTATTGTTATCTAAGAGGTTAACATTAGAGACCTGGATAAAGAATATAATGGAGCCCTGATCAGGCTCAATCCCCAGTAGGGGCTATGCAGGAGGCAACCAATTGATGTTCATGTTTCCATCTCTCTGTCTCCCTTCCTCTCTCTCTAAAATCAATAAAAACATATTTTAAAGTGGGACAATTTATGAAAGAAAAAGAAAATGACCTGCAAAGATATGAAAAAAATATTCAAGCTCATCAATAATAAAAGAAATGTAAACTAAAATGGGATTCTTTTTTGCCTATCAAATTAGCAAGAAAAATATAATCCTCATTATTGGTAAATATGTGGTGAAAAGGTGCTTTTATATGCTGCTCAGTGGGATAAAAACTGATATGAAATATATGTAAAGTTACTTTCCTAAGCATCAAACCCAGAAGTATGAGAATTTCTTTAGCATAACAAAAATGATATAGCAGATAAAATCAAATTTCAACAAATATATGGATATTAATAAAATAACCTAAAATATTGTAACACAAAATATCAACATTAAAATCAACAAATACTACAACCTAAAGTATTAACTCTCAAAATAAATAAGCAAATGAGTGAAGTCCTGTTTGCTCCTTTAATTAGAAAACGGTCGCAGTCCCCACCTTCCTTGGAGGGTGCGTTCTCAGCCTCCTTCGCCTTTCTGTTCCCTTTTTCTCTTCTCTTAAGTTTTAATTGTAGTTCTTTCATTGCTTGTTTTACTATGTTAAGTTCAAGAGTAAGGGTTTGGTTTGTACTATTCAGATGCAAATTTTCTTCTTTTAATTCCTCAAACTTTTCTTTGGTTATTTCTATACATCGTTGACGTGTTTTACCAGTTATATCTGAAAAGGTACAGGGAAACCGGTTTAAAATGTTCACTGACATTTACAATTTTACATCAAAATTACATGAGACTTCATTTGAAAAACCATGTGAGCAACTACTTCCTGTCAGGCCTCATGCCATGTTCTTTGGTCCTGGGGAAGAGACGGGCTGTACAAGAAAGAATGGGTGGTCTGGTGAGACTACAGTGGGTGACAGGAAGAGAGGTGACAGAGGAGGAAGCAGGAACCAGAGGAGGCCCTTGCATGTCATAATATGCAGAGTGGAGGACCAGGAGCCAGAAAGACTTTTAGGCAGAGGTGTGAAAAGAAGAGGCTCTGCTCTCAGGTGACTTCCTCAGGCCAGCAGTAAAGAAAGTGAATGATGAGGCCCAGCCCAGAGGGGCTCTGAGGGGGTATATGAGAGAGAGTCAGGGGTTAAAACCCCACAGGACTCAACAGGGAGAGGCAGATCAAGATCTGCAGTTTGGAAGACACTTAGCCAGACAAGGAAACAAGTGGACAAGGGAAGATACCCTCAGTGTAGGACACAGGCACAAAGCTCCGAAGGCAGCCTCAGCTGAAAGAGAGGGGAGCCACCAGCCCGTGGGCAGGACCTGACGGCTCCACGGAGAGGAGAAAACCAGAGATCACAAAGGAGTGTAAGAAGGAATAGCAAGAAAGATGGGAGGAAAGCAGAGAGCCCTGTTCCAGGGAGAGAGGTGCTCAGAGGTCAAAAAAGGTGAAAACTACAATGGGTTCCCAGGCCAGGCACGCCTCCAATGGAGGTGGAGACAGAAGCAGAGCTTCTGTGGGTAAACAGGGGTGGGAGGGCTGGTGGCTCGAGACAGTAGATTTGGCACACACCCCAGGGGGCAGGCAAAAGCTAGGGAGGGGACTGTGACTCCAGATAACCTCCTCTGACCCCTGATACAAATATATCCAGTGCTTAGCACATGAAAGGAAAGGCTAAGAAATGAGTAACTCTACAGCTACACTAAGAACAAGAGGGGGACCATGAGGAGTCCCAGAAAGAAAACAGTTGAGATTAGGTCGAAGACAGAAGCTGCAGCCTAAAATATGTCAGCTACAAAAGGTGGGGGTGACTCGCCCAGGCAGGTAGGAACTAAAGTGGCCTAGAAAGGACTGATAAAGTATCCAGTTAGAGTACCAGATGGGGCTCAAACCCTCTGGGCCAGGCAGAGATGCATGCCCCTTGGCAGGCTGTACATACAGGCACTGAGGTCTGAGAGGCAGGGCAGGACCAAAGGGCTGGAGAATCCCAAAAGTACGAGGGACCCCCACAATTCCTGGCTGGCTGGCCACAGAGCCTGCCTTCTCCGTCAGTCACAGGAGACAGGCAATACGACTGGCAGCCTGGCTGGTTTCTCCATCTGAGCAGCCTGCAGTAAGCAGGTACAGCATCCCCAGGCAGACCAACAGGGACACTCAAACCAAGTAAGTGTCTGAGCCAAGAGAAGCACCCGTCAAATTACAGAGGAGAGAGTGGTGGGCACAAAAATAAGATTTTGGGATGAGCATATTTCATATTCTCAGAGAGATGCTTGTCAATACTTCACAGAAATCAGGTAAGAACATTTTGATTAGTACATACATTTGAAGGGTGGGCTGAGAGGCAGAATATATACAATGACGAATGAGCCTGTGGGCCAGAAGTTAGAGCCCTAGCAAACTCCCACAGGAGAGCACCAAAATGGGTGAAAGTCAAGCCAATCCCACATGGAGGACAGACTGAAGTCTTGCTACCCAATATGGTTTTCGGATAGTGATGTGAAGCATAACAGGCAAAACTTACAAAATTCACTTTGAAAGCTACTGAAGCTCCCAAGAACATTATAGGGGAGAGTACCCCAGAAAACATCTCTAGACCTCACACTCTGCTTCCAGCCCCAGAACAGAACCCTTATTGCATATACCCACCCTCCCAGCATCTAAGCACGTCCCACAGATGCCTCCAGCCACCCACCCCCAGCTGGTCACACCCCTCCCCGCACCCAGGATCTGAGTGCATCCCATGGAGACTTCCACCATCTAATGTTTGAATGTGTGTGTCCTCTCTTTAGAGACAAAGGCGGAAGTTCAACAATTGCTACCTGTTCCCAATTCCAGTAATGGGAAAGAAGCAGCAGCTTTTACAGGGGAAAAAAGAAACCTTTATTTTAGATGAGATTATTCTGGGTAGTCTATAAAACTATAAGTTTTCCATCATAATCAAAGGCAAAAGGCAAATACCTGGGGACGGTGGAGGTTTTCCACATAATGGTGGTTTTTCATCCTAAGAGGGGAAAAAAGCCATGAGCCCAATAAATTGAGAGTGTTAACATCTTCTGTTCAAACCTTCTTTCTGCTGTTTTGTCTGCGGGTTCAGTCAGTCACTGTGTCTTTATATGTAGGTCCCGTGGGTAACGGGCCATCAGTTCACATTCTTAAAGCATGTGACATGGCTGCAGGTGCTGAACAGAGATGCGCAAAGCAAACTCCAACGCAACCTTTCTCCTGGGATATGCAAGAAGACCCCAAAACCTACAGAGAAGCAGTTTCTCAGGGTGCTGAGGAAAGAATATAAGATCTCACTTTCAACACAAAACTTCGAGGAAAGGGAAAGCTTTGAACTCTTGTTCATTTTTCCATTACACATCAGTCTGATATTAAGTTTCTAATTTCCACTGAAAAAGTAGACTTGGTTGTAAATTAATTCTACCAAGAAATGTTTAGTTTTTAAATTCCTATGACCTCACACAATTCAAAACTTAAGTTAGAACTATTTCCATGTTTGCAAATTAGTATTCTCTAGTCATTCTACAAATTGTGTAAGTGATTTCAAACCTCTCAATACATTAGTTTCATTTTTAAACTATGGAAAATATGAATTTCTTCAAGTTTTTTAAGTATTAAAAAAGAAACATTCAGCCCAGCCAGAGTGGCCCAGTTGGCTGAGCATTGTCCTGTGCACAGAGGGTTGCAAGTTCAATTCCCAGTCAGGACACATATCTGGGTTGTGGGTCCGATCCCCAGTTGGGGCGAGTATGGGAAGGCAGCCGATTGATGTTTCTCTCTCTCTTTCCTTCCTCTCTAAGCATGTCCTTGGGTGAGGATTTTAAAAAAAGTTGTATTCAATTGGAAAGAACTCCTAAGGGAGGTTTTTCCTCCCACAAATGACAAAAGTCTTTTAAAAATTATGGTAGAAATTCAATCTATTGAGAAAACCAGTTTTTAAAAAACTAATCTTACCTTTAAATTCAGAACAGAATGGTCACCATCTGATTTTTTAAAAAAAGAGAAAAAAATTTAAAAGCAGATAAAGACATTTGACAACTCAGGAGAGTACAAACAATCAGAAACTCACCTTCTACAGATGAACCCAGCAAGGCAGGGACCGGCAACAGGCTTGGCAAGGTCCCCTGGAAAGCTGGCCCCGCAGTTAGGCGGGGAGCCCAACTCCGAACTGCTCATCTTAGGCTATCCTGCTCACTCCTGAGCACCTTCAGTGGCTCGCAGGATTGCAGAACCAAGGCCAAACTCCTCAGTGTGACTCTGAGCCCTTTCCCTGCGGGGCTCCTACCCACCTTTCTGACAGAGTCCCACCCGTGTGCTCTCTCCACAGTTTCCACCCGCTATTCCCCAAATGGGCTGAGCCTACCCTCCCTGGAAGTAGCATACAACTTGGTCAGAAAAGGAGTTGTTCCTTGAAGAAAATTGCCTCATTGACACAGATGAAAACAAATCTTGCCCAGTAACTCATTTTCAACTTACAAATACATATTTGTGACTAAGATCCTCCATGGAGAGGGTGACCTTATGACACAGTTTGCCTGTACCCCCAGTTATAGTGAAAAGTAGGACTTTCAACTTTTTAGAAGTTGGTTGCTTTTAACTTTCCACAATTAATTTGCAGAGCAGAAATAACTGGCTGAAACATAAATTAGAAACAAATATGCAAAAAACAGAAAAAAAGTACCGAATTCAGAAAAAGAGACAAAAATGCTTAAAGATGCATACAAGATTATAAATCTACTTCCTGGTTCATTACAATTACCAACACTTGAGCAACTAATCAAAGAAGAGCATATTTTTGGCCAAAAAGTCATCTTAATCCACTATTTTTAACCAAACTGCTTTTTTTTCCTTTTCTTTTTAAAATTTATTTTAATTTAAAAATTTTTTCCAATTAAAGTTGACATTCAATATTAACAAACCTGCTTTTGGTCAAGTGTTTTGAGGCAGCCTGGGCTGGGGCACCAGATGAAATCCTACCTGGTCCTTCCAGCCTAACGACCTCTTCTCCCTGCTAGTTTCTACAACTGGCGGACAATGCTGACTCTTCTGGGGTCTCTGCGCCCACTTCTACCACTGGCCTCAGCACCCAGGCAGTTCGCCCTCTGCACATCTCCCCCGCAACTAGAATGTGAGGGTAAAGGCTGTGGCTCCATCATTTCTGGCACACAGTAAGCTGAACAAATTTCTCATGAGCAAATGTTTAAACTGATACAAAAATAATTTACATTTTTAATAACTTTCACAATAGTCTTGATCTGGTATCTTACAGTGTTACATCAGATCTATTGTTCTCATATTTAATGCAATCTTCTATGTCCCCCTTAAATTCTTCACAAAATAAAGTTGGGGGAGGGCAAGGGATTAAATGAAGAAAAACAGGTTTCCAGGGGTGAAGGGTTCGGTTCCTGGCCAAGGGCACACACCAGGGTAGCAGGTTCAATGCTTGGCCCCAGTTGGGGTGCATGTGGGAGGCAACCAATCGATGTGTCTCTCTCTCTTCCCCTCCTTCCCTTCCTTTCGCTCTCTTTAAAAATATCAATGGGAAAAATATCCTCGGGTGAGGATTAACAACAAAAAATAATAAAATAAAATTAATTATCTATGAAGTACAATTATGTGTTTAACTTGATATACTTATACATTTCCTTTTTTTTTAATAGTGCAAAAGTAGTACTTCTATAATTAAAAAAGGAATACAGCCTGGCTGGCATGGCTCAGTGGTTGAGCATCCACCTAGGATCCAGGAGATCCCGGTTCGACTCCCGGTCACAGCATACGCCCAGTTTGTGGGCTTGATCCCCAGTGGGGTTGTGCAGGAGGCAGCCCATCAATGACTCGCTCATCATTGATGTTTCTATCTTTCTCTCCCTTCCTCTCTCTGAAATCTATAAAGATATATTTTTAAAACATAAAATAAAAAAGGAATACACTTTTTACATGACTTTAATATTCACAGAGATTTTCCCATAGGGATGAAATATGCCACCTAACCAATTGGTGTTTCTTGCCCAGGTATTTCTAGGCTGGCATTCTGTTTCCCAGTCACCTCTCCTTGAGCCCAGGCAACTCTGAGGGTCCTGATAAAGCAGTTATTGGTGCCCACTGTATGCCAGGCTCGCTGTCTCACTTCTCAAATATAAGCCATCTCTTAGGAAACTAAAAAGTGTTCCCCACCTTTGCTCTAATACCCTGAATTCTTTCACAGTACCAGACAAAATATATGGACAGTTGGCAACGTAGTTAGAGTTGTATTATAAACATGTCCATGCACCCATTCATCCAACAAATCTTTAGAGACAGCTTACAGTGGGCCAGGCCCAGCTCCAAGCACTGGAGATAGCATGGAGAACAGGACAGATAACCCCCCTCGCCCATTCCGTGGAGACCACTGGGTACCGACCCCCTGCAACACCAGGTACCGGGGAACAGGCGGGAGAGTGTGTAGAGCGTCAGAGCCTGAGCTGAGCCCTCTTCCCCTGTGTGCCCTCAGGTCGACTGACAGAACCAACAAAACGGACTCCAAAGTGAGCACAACCTAACATCCAGGCAACTGACTCTGGAGTAACTTATCTTTAGTGAAAATAAAATTCAGAAATATTCCTACCTGTAATAACAGAATCACAGTATGGAGGTGCAATGGCTACATGTTCTCCCAAGTTAACCAACATTTATTGCCACAAGATGCTTTTAATATTTGAAAATTTGTGGGTTACTTTTTTTACCTTTTTCTTGTGTACGCTGTGGTATAAGAGGTGAGTCTGGAAACCCATCTTGCTCAGAAATATTTTCCTCATCTTCAGTGTCCACCCCATGTGACGATGGAACCTTTTGTTACAAGAGACAAAGGAGTAAACTTATGACCAAATGTCCTCCCAGTAAACTCAAATGGCTTATTCCACACTTTCTCCAGTGCCACCTCCCTCTCCAAGATACAAAAGGACTACACCTGGCAGGGCGGGATGAAACTGCGGGCTCCTCAGGAAAAGCCCCATGGCAAAGGCAATGACATTCAAGCTACACTTAGGCAACCCAGAACTTCAAATCCCACGCATGCTGCCTGGGCAACCTTTCTTTCTCCTTCCTGCCAGGGACAAACCCAGAAAAAGGCGCTGCATCTGGCCTGCTGTGCACAGCCCCCAATACCACCCTAACATGGCACTGATACTGTGTCATCACTTCTATGTGAGACAAGAGCTGCCAACCTGCCCTGTGAGAACCCTCAGTCAGGCAACTGTTTGAGGTTGAGGTCCGATATGTTGGCTGGACATGTGAGTCCGCTGTAAATGCTGTTTCCTCGTGAAACAGAACCCTCTCCTCCACTGTCTGTGAGCACCTCCTACATAGATATCGTGGGTGGTGGCAGGGCTGCAGTGCTGTCTCTCACAGACCTGTGGGCCAGGAATGGGACCACCCTGAGGAGCGGGAGACAGTCTCACTGGTGGGGCTCTGGGAAGTGGGGACGGAGGCAATCCAAGCCTACAATAAGCTAAGCCTGGTGCTCTCTGCTTGGCTTCCCGTCTGCTCTCCTGATTCTTCACCAAAATCTTACTTATGTGATCATCTTGTCTCAGCTGTGCTATGCTGCCCGCAAAGAAGGGCCATCCCCAAGGCTGGCGGGGAGGTGGCAGCGCCAACCAGCAAGATGCACTGGAGCAGTTCAGGGCCAAGAGCAAAGGCTGTTAGGCCACCAGGCTCAGTGTACAGGGCTCCGAGGTGACTCAGCTGATGGATCTCGCACTCTACTCACATTTGAAGGAAGAATAAAGAAATGACCTCTCAGTTTTCATCTCCTAGGAACCAACTGCCTTGTTCACCCCATCAAAGATATAGTAAGCTACTCACTATTATCAAGGAAATGTGAAAAATGCTAAGGGGACTCAAATATCATCATAAAGATTCCCTACTATGGAAAACTGTTGGGCAATATCTACTAGTACTAAGGCTGAGGATACAAATACTACTCCTCCGTATATACCCACCAGAAGTATATACATATATCCATGAATGTTAATAGCAGCACTATTCCTAAGAGCCCCCAACTGGAAACAACCAAATATCCACCATCAGTAAAATGAGTAAGTATTTGGATGTTTAGTTGTAGAATGGGATATTATACAGCAACAGGGATAAACTAACTACTGAGTGCCCAGTAACTGAAGGCTCACCAAGCCCCAAAGAATACATACTATGTGATTAAATTCACAGAATTTTCAGAATAGGCAAAACTAATCTAAGGTTATTTTCTAAGATCTAATCTACTCTTGGAGTTAGGGCAGTGTTTACCTCTGGGGGAAGTAGACCTCTTCTCGGTCACAAAGAGGGACTTGTGGGGTACTAATAAAGTTCTTGTTTTAAAAATCTGGGTGGTGGCTACTTTGTAAAAATTCACTGAGCTGTACAATTATGGTTTATGTACATTTTGTGTATATTTAACACATTAATAAATAAACCAAAGAATTGTGACAATATTCAAAACAACACTCTAATTTAAAAGTTGTAACTTAAAACATTTTTTTAAACTACCAAATACTTCCCATTATAGAAATAACCTTGGCAACTAAAACAAAACTTGTTTGAGCCTTGAAGGAGAGGAAGCAGCAGGGAGGCCAGCCCATCCACAGCGCAGACATGGGTGGTGCCGTAACGGCCTTTCCTTATCTGTCTGCAGCACTTGTCCTAGGTTCCTTCATCCTCTTGCCGGGCAGTATACTAACTGAGATTTTAAAGAGTAAAATGTACATGCTATAATTTCTAGAGTAATTATTAGAGAAAAAACTATAACTGGCAAACTAGTAGAGAGAAGAATAGAACTGAAAAAAATCACCAATCCAAAAGAAGGCAAGAGGGGAAAAAAAGAGATATAAAATAGCAGGACAAATAGAAAAAATAAAGATGGCAAATTCAAATTCAAGTATATCCTTATATACATTAAATACAAAAAGACTAAAAAGTTCAGTAAAAAGACAAAGGAAAACTTTGTCAAACTTGGTTAACAAAACTACATGCTACACTGAACTATATATTTTAAATAGATGAAAAGGGTGTAATGTGAATTATATATTATATATTTAAAACTTGTTAAAAAACCAATATACTGTTTATAAGGCACAGCTAAACTTAAGGACATATAAAGACTGAAATTAAGGAATGAAAAAACAGACTATGCAAATATCAAACAAAAGAAAGATGGAGGGTGTCAGGTGAAACAGACATAAGGCAAAACACATTTTTAGAGATACAGAGGGTGACTTTATCGTGACAGAATGTTCAGCTTACCAGGAAGATATAATTTTAAATTTGTACATGCCTAACAATGTGGTCAGAGACAAAATAATACACGTTCTATGATCTCGTGCATATAAAGTTCAAAACATGCAAAACTAGTCTGTGGTATCAGAAGCATTCTAATACCTGAAGATGAAAGCAAGGTATTGGAAAACCTGACAACATGGCAAGGAAGCTGCAGTGTCCAGATTCATGTGACTATAAGAGTGAGATGACTCTGAGATCCAGCAGTAATTAATGCTAACCATGCACAGGTCCAGCCTACGATGGGACGGTCACCTCCCCACAAGCCTCTTCTCATATTAATGGTGCTAACAGAAGAACCCCACCCAAAGTACATTCAGTGGAGCAACAGGAGGTACCAGCTAGCTCCCCCTCAGGGTAAAGTCTGGGCAAGAGCCTGGTAAAAGCCCTGACCAGTGTTGCTCAGTGGTTAGAGCATCACCCCTCCTACCAAAGAGTTGTGGGTTCAACTCCTGGTCAGGGCACAGATGTAGGCTGCAGGTTCGATCCCTGGTTAGCGTGTGCATGGGAGGCAACCGACTGATGTTTCTCACACCAATGTTTCTCTTTCTCTCTCTCTAAAATAAGAAAAAAATCAATGAAAACATATCCTCAGGTGAGGATTAGAAACAAAAACATGATACAGACATCAAACTGACCACAGAAGCCTCTCCTGGAGAGAGAACCAGAATAGGAACAGCAGGGTTTCAAGGAGGGCTTTTGCAATATCAAAAGTTTTTATAAGAAATGTGTATCCATGCATTACCTTTGTGACCAAAAAAAAAAAAAAAAAAAAATTTAAACTGTGGAGAGAGAGGGGACATCCCTAATCCTCAACAGCAACAGCAAAAGAATACCCGCTATTTCTTGGCCTCCAGAAGTTTCTAGAAAGAACTAGTTTACCCTTCCATGAATAGTTTCTCTGTAATTTTATTTTAAAAATCTGAAGCAAAACAAGGCAAGGTGTCAACACTTGCTCATTCTGAAGAATGAGAACACTAGTATATCATACTTCCTACTTTTCAACTTTCTTTTTTGGGCTGGGTTATAGAAAACACACACGTTCAGCTTTAATAGATGGTGCCAAACAGTTTTCCAAAGTGGTGGTATGAGCTACACTCCCAGCAGCGTTAGAGAGTCCTCTGCAGCCTCACCAGTCCTTCAGATTGTTAGCTGTGCTCTACTGTTCAAATTTTAAAATAAAAAAATTCCCTCTGCATATGGCTCCGAGAAGCATCACGACAGGCTGCCTAAAAAATAAAATATTTGTCCTGCTAACGACAAAGGAGGTTGTGCACGTCACTATAATCTCTTTCTTCTAAGGGAAATGTGGTCACAAGCTTCATTTAAAAATATTTGAATGATACAACTCTATCTGTTAACCTCAGTCCAAAATGCTACCAGAAAGTTGCAGATTTGAGGACAGTGGGGCTTCATCCTGGCCTTTGGGAGCTCTGCAGAGGACCCTCCTCTGGGCTCCTGGCAGCTCTCTGCCTGCTCCAGTGCTCCTTACTGTAGAGAAACCCAACTCTGCATGTTAAAGTCTACATGTTAGAAAGTGACGGTCAGCCTATGAAATACTCACATATGGATTCCTCAAAATAAGCTCCCTAAGATCATTTAAAATGTGATCCAATATAGTCGAGGGTAATCAACATAACATAATCAATATGAATATACTTTGGAGCTGCCAGTCTGTATGTGTAGTCACCATGTTAACACGTTGTAATGATGGTGAAAAAAGAGAAAGGAAAAAGAAATTACGGTGCTTTCTTTTGCCACTGAAGAAATGGCACTATCCAGTTTGCAAAACCCCAAGAGCAGAGTTTAAACCATAGCAGTTGGGCAGTGGTGGAGAAATGGGCTCCTTCAACCTCTCCGTACCTCGGTTTTCCACATGTGATAGGGTCATAATTGGAAGCTACCTCACTGAGACAGTTGGAGGTAAATACATGTAAGGGCTTGAAATAGAGACTCATTTACGGTAACCACTCAAACAATGTCAGCTACCATGGAGATAAAGGACCACACTCCTTTTGTCAGGTATGGATTTAAAGAAAGGCTGCAGCTTTGCATACTGATATTGGAAAAGTGATAGAAAAAATAGCTTTTGGGGTCAAAGAAAAAACAGGATTACTTAGCATTGGAAGAAAATCTACCCTGAAAAAATAAAGATGTTTGTCTTTGAAAAGTAAAGGAAAAGTTTTAAATTTTAGCCTAACCAGATAGAAACGAGATGACACATTAAAAAAATAAGCCCCAAAACAAAGGTAGAAGAGAGAAAAGAAAGTCCTTACTCATACACAATTTTCTGTACACAATTTACTATAAGTTAATGTCAAGGCGCAGACGAAATTCTGGAATGTGACAGACACCTGATTTTTGTGTGGCGTGGTATACACGGCATCACCAAGACCTCCCTCTTTCTTATGAGCACTGACATTCCCCGACTCCTTGTAGCTGGATGACAGGTGCGAGTCAGTGTCCTCTTCTTCCCCGTAGCCCAGCATTTCAAAGGACGGCAAAGAAGTCCTTCTTTCTGTCTCACTCTGCCAGCTTGGCCTGTGTTAGAACATTCAGGAGAAAAATAAGTCACTAAACCAGCCACTTACTTCACACTGGTATATACCCATGTATCAAACACACTGCTCTGAGCCCCACCACAAAAGTATTATAACTATATTACAAATACACAGAAACTAAAGGACTAAGTCATCCACTATCCCATCTCTCTGCACACTCTTAAAACTTCTTTCTAGTTTTGTACGTCAGTTCTTATAGTTATCACTGCACACAAACACAATCTGCTTCATTGCCGAGTGTTTAAAGTAAAACTGTTATAAGGTAAAGGCTCAAGCAGTTACACCTGTTTCGTCAGCCATTTCCCTTACTATGGTTTCTCCCAATTTTCACTGTTATAAATAATCCTGTAATGGACATCTATGTGCAAATAATCTCTTCTGCTTTTAGGATTAATCCTATAAAACAGACAACCAGATGGCAAACTGCTGAGTCAATGGTATGAACATTTTGTGGGTCTATATGCATACCACACAAGATCATTTCACCAATCATTTCCCCAGCCTGTGACTACATTCGTAATAATTTTCTAAAACTTGCCAAAAGAATTTAAATCTCACTGTGTAAATTTGCATATCTTACTGAGACTAAATATTTTTCCATATATTTGTATGCAAGCCTTAATTCCTCTAGTGTGAATTGTCTGTTCATGTCCTTTGTCCATTTATCTACTTTGCTTCTAATATGTCCATTCCAATTTGAAATTAACTTTCTTAACTTCTAAAATTAAAACCCTGACTTTGTATTTACTGCAAATATTTTTCCTATTCTATTAATTTTTTTACATACAGATAATTTTTAAAAAAATATGTTTTTATTGATTTTTAGAGCGAGAGAGGAAGGGAGAGTGATAGGGAGATAGAAACAGCGATGAGAGAGAAACATCATGGATCAGCTGCCTCCTGCACATCCCCCACTGAGGATCAAGCCTGCAACCCAGGCATGTGCCCTAACCTGACTGGGAATCAGACCATGAAGCTCTTGGTTCCTAGGTCAACTCTCAACCACTGAGCAACACTGGCTGGGCCATGCAGATGATTTTTTAAAAATTTCTTTTAACCTTCTAAATTCTTAATGTAGGAGTAAATAGCAGTTTTGATAAGACTGGATATAGGATTTCATGGTCTTATTTATGTATATATACAAATCAATCCTTTCACTCAATAGAAATGTGTTTTAGTACATGAATTAGGCAAGGCTCAATACTGATTTTTCCTCAGAATTGCTAATCAATATATTGCTGAAACCTTCGATCTGTGGGGCTGCCTTTATTAGAGATTCAATATACTTGCCAACACTAGGCCACCTCAGGTGTTCGTGCACAACTCTCTATCATTGAACCCATTCTTTATTTTAACTACTTCAACTATAGGTTTTAAAATACAATGGGGCTGCCCGGCCAGGCGTGGCTCAGCGGTTGAGCATCGACCTAGGATCCAAGAGATTGCGGTTCGGTTCCCGGTCAGGGCACATGCCCGGGTTGTGGACTTGATCCCCAGTCGGGAGCATGCAGGGGGCGGCCAATCAATGACTCTCATCATTGATGTTTCTATCTCTCTCTATCTCTCCCTTCCTCTCTCTGAAATCAATAAAGATATATTTAAAAAAATAAAATAATAAAATAAAATATAATGGGGCTAATGCTGGCTGGTGTGGTTCAGGGGTTAGAGCGTGACCCATGCAGCAAAGGGTCACAGGTTCAATTCCTGGTCAAGGGTACATACCTGGGCTACAGGTTTGATCCCCAATCTCCACCCCAGTTGGGGTACATGTAGGAGGCACCCAATCGATGTGTCTCTCTCACATCGATGTTTCTGTCTCTCCCTCCCTGCGTCTCTCCCTCTCTAAAAATCAATGGAAAAAATAACCTTGAGTGAGGATTAAGAAAAAAATACAGGATGGGCCCAATGCAGCCTGCCCCGGGTAAATATGCCTCCTTTCCAGACTTTATCTGATGGTCTTAGCTGCTAATTCTTCCCAAAAAAGTTTAGAACCTTGTCCTCGTATTTAGTTCTTATTCAGCCAAAGAACAGTTCTTACCAGGAAGAAAACAGGCTATATTCAAATATCTCAAAACGGAGTCAAGATTAAAATGTAAAAACCAAAAGCATAAACGTGTCCTAGGAGTAAATACACGAGCCTTCATGTAATGCTGTGGTGGGGAAGGGCTTTCGAGATTTGACAATAATGACAGCAGCTACAAGAAGAAGAGTGATGTATCTTACCACAGAAAAAATACAGAATGTTTGGTATGTAAAAATATAAACAAAAACAAAAACAAAAATGAATAAACATGGCAGATAAAAGGCAAGTCTGGTCATGTATCCCCACCACCCCATAAGCCCATACGTCCTCCATGTCCCCCTGCTTCTAGGGGAGACATCAAACCTCAGAGCGGAACACTGAGCTCCTGTCCCTCCTCCAGCCCCATCTCCATGACTCCCCACCTCTCTCAAAGTCTCCCGGCCACAACCTTGCCTTCTGTTGCTCACATGTGTCATGCTCCCTCTTTCTCTGTCTAGAAAGCTCATCCCAGCCCCGCACTGACCATCCCCCCACCCTCCAGCCGTTCCCACTTCATTCCAGTAAATTCCTTGGTGTCCCCTCAATGCTCTCTTGCTCAGGAGGAAACCTTCCTGATCCCCAGCCCTATGTTAGCATTAACCCAGCTCAAGTAATAGAGGAAATGACATTAAAGAAGAAGAAAATTATAGTACAGATGCCAACAAAGGTCAAATCAGTATGAATGTCCAAGGGGAGATATGTGAGAATTAGTGAGTGACAACTCTCACCATCTAGGTGGTGGCACAGAGAATCCTGCTAAGGCCTAAAAGCAGCACTAAATTCACTGGCTCTTTGCTGCCATGAAAACAACCAGTGTGTTCACGAGCCATAATTTAACAAGAGCCACTCTAGAGAAAATTCTGATGAAATTCAAGAACATTAATGTCCCAGAACAGTGTCCCTTTGGCATTGGTGATGAAAACCTCACTACTAAGCTCTAGCCATAATCACATGCATGCACACGCACACATGTGCACATGCATACACGCACAAGCACACACACAGGCACATACACACATGAGGTGCTCCTCTTCTGCCCCGAGAGGAAGCAGAGCCAGAGATATTGTCCTTACTGATGCCTCAGCTCCGAGGTGGTGGCATAGGGCTCAATGAAACTGTCATTTTCAACATAGGTCGTGTCACTCTCAGCCTGGGATCTCCGCTGTGGCTGAGGAAGGGCGATGGTCCGGCCAGTCAATGTTGTTGCTAGAATAACTGCAGCCAGAGCAGATCTATGGACAAAAGCATCCAGTGAGATGGTGAACTAAAGGTTAAACAACAGGATACGTGAATTAATCAAGTTTTACCTTCTGTTCTACAATGTTTAGTGCATATCTACTGACCACTAGCCTGTTATATGCCATCAAGCAATCTCACTTCATTCTCACATCATCTATATGAGTAAATATTATTGTCACCTCCATTTTTCATATAAATTAAATGATTTGCCCAAGATTTCTAAGCTAATAAGAGATGAACCAGGTCTCTAATCCAAGGAGTCTATACTCAAGTGCTTTTTCTATTAAAATAAAAGATCAGGATGAAATAAAAGGAGGTATAAAAAGATATATAATATTTGTAAAGGCATTTTAGAAACTTGCAAATTTTTCAAAACTATAATATAGGAAAGATAAAATAATGTATTTACCCTCCCACCTGAAAAAGTGAAACAAAACAATAGACTTAACAAACGGCCAAGTTTACTGCCAGAGACTTTCCAGGTCACAGCAAAGGAAGGAGAAACTGATGTGGGGCCAGGCAGACTCCCTGAACTGTGTAGATGGACCCGAGAATCTGGGAACACCGAGGCAGATAGAATTTGAAGGACAGAGTACCAGAAAGGAGAGAGCTCAACAGAGAAAACTCAGGAAATCAGCAGAAGGTCCCCCTGAGGGTTTAGCAAAATGCTCCTCAGTGCATGCGTGTGAGGAGACTACCTAAGACTGGGGGAAGAAGCATTCATAAGGATCAGAGGAACAGTGCCAGATGCTTACATACGGTTGAGGTCAGTGTTTGTTCCCAACAGTCAGACAGGAAAAAATTATAATTCATGGGACACTGAGTACCATACTCCAAAAGGCCTCGCCTTAGCAGCAGGGAAAAGTTAGTCCTAGGTTGCACACTGGTCCAGACCCCGCCTAACAAATCATAAAAGCAAGACCCAAAAGATCAACTGGTCCCAGGCAACTTAATTGCATCCCAGTGCAAAATTCAAGAATACTTATAGAAATACAAAAATCTCTAGCACTCAACAATGTAAAACTCCCAACAATGTCTAGTACACAATCGAAGAGAATGAGGCGTGCAGACAGAAAACCGTGACCCAAAATGAAAAGAATGACCAGCCAAAATCCACTCAGAACCGAACACGTTAGAATTAGCAGAGAAGGCCATTAAGGCCGTTATAACTGTACCCCATAGTAGAGACACAGAAAATGATAAAAAAGCCTTGGCCCTGGCTAGTGTGGCCCAGTGGTTAGAGCTTGGTCTGCACACCGGAGGGGCGCGGGTTTGATTCCAGGTTTTTTGTTTGTTTTTAAATTTTTTTTTTTTTTTAATATCTTTATTGATTTCAGAGAGAGGAAGGGAGAGGGAGAGAGAGAGAGAGAGAAACATCAATGATGAGAGAGTCATTGATTCAGCCCACAACCCAGGCATGTGCCCTGACCGGGAATTAAACCCTGATCGCCTGGATCCTAGGTCGACGCTCAACCTCTAAGCCATGCCCGGCTGGGCTCGATTCCAGGTTAAGGGCATGTATCTGGGTTGCAGGTCCGATCCCGGTCCCCTGGTTGGGGCACATGTGGGAGGCAACCAGTCGATGTGTCTCCGTCCATCGATGTCTCTCTTTCTCCCCCCCTCCTCCCTCCCTTTCACTCTCTCTAAAATTAGTGGAAAAAATATCCCTACTCCTCAGGTGAGGATAAAAATTAAAAA